AAGGTGCCTGTCTCTGGGATGGTGAGCACAGGGAAAGGAGGAGGTTTGGTGGGAAGATTAATTCATTTAGGCAACAACTCTCAATTAAGCACCTACTATATGCCAGGCACCTTGTATTTAGGATAGAGCAATGACAAAATCTCTGCTCTCCTGAGACTTAAATTCAGTGAGAGCTAGACAATAAACAAACAAACATATGTCAAGTTGTAAAAAGTGTTATGGAGGAAAAGAAAGCGGGGGTGGGGTCTGCAATTTTTATTTTTGTTTTATTTTTAAGTAAGCTCTACACCCAACGTGGGGCTGGAATTCATGACACTGAGATCAAGACTCACACACTCTACCAACTGAGCCGGCCAGGCGCCCCTGGTCTGCAATTTTTTAAAGACATGACCAAGGATGGTCCCATTGACAAGGTGTCATGTAGGCAGAGACTCGGAGGGGGAAGAGCATTCCAGGCAGAGGAAACAGCACGTGCACGGGATGGAACGTGAGCACGGGAGGCAGGAACATGCTAGATATATCCTAGGAACAGTGGGGAGGCCAGTGTGGTGGAGCAAGGGGAGGAGTGACAGCTGATTGGATGGGAGGGGTAGCAGAGGCAGATCCTGTGGGGCCTTGTAGGCCATTGTAAAGACTCTGGCTTTTATGCTAAGAAAGCCAGGAAGGCTCTCTGGAGAGTTTTGAGCAGAAGAGGACCCTGAATGGCTTGTATTTTAGAGGCTTAGTGAATAAGTATTCCTTGGTCCTTAGATCCCAATTCCACCACTTTCTAGCTGGGTGACCTTGGACAAGTTATTTAATTTCTCTGCGCCTCAGTTTCATAATCTGTAAAATGGGGATAATACCAGTAATCACTTTGTATGGTTATTGCGAGGATTAAATAAAGTTAATATAAAGAAAGCACTCCGAACAGTGTCCGGCACATTCTAAGCACTTTAGACTGGGAGCAGCAATTATGATAATTATCATCAAGGCTGCTGGTTTGAGAACAGAATGGAGGGGGCCAGGGTGGAAGCAGGGACACCATCTGGGCAGCTTCTGCAGTGGTCCAGGGGCCCAGGAGAATGGTGAGGATGGCTTGGACCAGAATGGTTATGGTGGAAGTGGAGAGAAGTGGTCAGAATGAGGAAGAGCTGATAGCATCTGCCTGGGGATCAGACATGGAATATGAGAGAAAGGGGACCCACAATGGCTCCAAGGACTTTTGCCCTGAGCACATGGAAGCTGAAGTTGCCATTTACGGAGATGGGGAGCAACATCAGGAATCTGGCCTTGAGCATGATAAACGGGAGACGTCGACTGGATGTCTCAGTGTAAAGGCAGGCAGTTGGATATACAAGTGGCCCAAGCTGGGGGTGTATGCTTGGGAGTGATCAGTATACAGTGGATATTTCGAGCCGTGGGTTTGAAAGCCCAGATGGTTTTACCAAGGAAGTGAGTGTGGATGGAGAAGAGAGCCAAGGGTGAGCCTGGGAGTCTGCCATGTGCACAGCAGGGGCTTGGCCGATGCCACCACCCAGCTGATGTAATTTGTGAAAAGCCTGCAGTTTTGAAAAAGCTTGAGGAAAAGATTCTCGGTTTTGTCAGAGATCTCTCAAATGTTTGAAATAGCATTTCTAGGACACATGATGAGGACAGGCTTGGGAAGACACCAGAGATGGGTAAGCACAGAGGAGGCTGGATGGGTGACCAACGTTGAAGTCTTTGCTGATCCAGAAACGTTCTGAGCGGGGGCAATTTTTGTGTAAAACTGGCTTTAAGGATATGTGAATTACCAATATGACCATATACTGGTATAAAAATAATTTAACAAAAGGCAGTGGCTAAGAACATGGATTTTTTTAAGAATGATTTATTTATTTATTTGAGAGAGAGTGAGCAGGGGTGGAGGGAAGGCACAGGGAGAGGGAGCGAGAAAGAGAGAGAGAGAGAATCTCAAGCAGACCCTTCCCCCCCTAAGCATGGAGCCTGATGTAGGGCTCAATCCCACGACCCTGAGATCATGACCTGAGCCGAAATCAAGAGTCGGATGTTTAACTGACTGAGCCACCCGGGCGCCCCAAGAGCATGGATTTCAAAGGTGGATGAACTATGGTTCTTCAGGCTCTGCCCAGTGAGACCCTAGGCTGTGCCACTTCTCTGGCCCAGATCCTCATCTGTAGAATGGGCTCAGCTTGTCTCTAACACAGGCATTGAAAGAAGTGAAATAGATATGCTAACAAAGCGCTGAACATAGCTCTGGCCCTCAACACACACACACACACACACACACACACACACACTTTTTTCTTCTCTACTACCACTAGCACCAACACTTCTGACACCAAATGTGTGGGTTTTTTCTCACATTGACCCACTCTCTGACACCAGCTGGGTGTCCTGTAGTTCAGTTCAGTTCTGACATTCTCTACCTAGAGTTAGTGTCAGATCCCACAAGTTAAGGGCTCAGTCGCCAAACTGCCTTCACTTTAGATATTAATGGAAGGTCCCAGCCTCCTCTACTTCTGATCTGCTGGCTATAAAAATCAGGGGTTCCCAGGACTCCCTCCTGAATAAGTTAATAATTTGCTAGGATGGCTCACAGAACTCAGGAAAATGCTTTGCTTTCTATTACCTATTTCTTATAAAAGGATACAACTCAGGAACAGCCAGATGAAAGAGATGAATAGAGCAAAGTACCTGGGGGCGGGGGTGGGTGCAGAACTTCTCTGGGTGCATCACCCTCCCAGCACCTTGATGTGTTCACCAATCTAGAAGCTCTTGGAACCCCTTTGGTTAGGATCTTTCTGGAGGCTCCATCATGGAGGCATGCTTGATCCAATCACTGGCTATTGGTGATTGAACTCAATCTCCAGCCCCTCTCCTCTACCCAAAGGTCAGGGGGTGGGGCTGAAATTTCCAACCCTTCAATCCCAGGGCTGGTTTCTCTGGCAAACCCCCTTAGGGGTTTTCCAAAAGTTACCGCATTAATATGTGCGCAGGTGTGACTGTAACGGGCTTGTTATAAACAACAAAAGGTGAACCTCTTAACCCTATCATTCAGAAATTCCAAGGATTTTAGCAGCTCTGTGTCAGGAACTAGAACTGGGTGATCAAATTTATTATAATTATAGCCAATATGACAGGCGCACAATTAAGTGTTGCTATCTAATTGACAAGGAGACTAAAAAGAGAAAAAACCAATTCAGAATAGGATGAAGGAGGGGCACCTGAGTGGCTCAGTTGGTTAAGAGTCTACCTTTGGCTGAGGTCTTGATCCCAGGATTCTGGAATCGAGTCCCACGTCGGGCTCCCTGCTCAGTGGGGAGCCTGCTTCTCCCCCCCATCCCGTTCATGCGCTCTCTCTCTCAAATAAATAAATAAAATCTTAAAAAAACAAACAGAATAGAATGAAGGAGCAGTAGAGAGGGGGCTGAAATCGGTATTCTGGGCAAGGCTCAACTCATAGGCGGGTGACCTGTGCAGTTATAGAGGCCTCCCAGCTCAAAATGGACCCAGTTCTTCGCTTAATGCTCTGCTTTCACCATCTTGAAATTCGTAATAATTTTCTCCTTGAACCTGTGTTTCATAAAGGAAGTCCAATGGGACAGTGAAGTATGGTGTAAAGATACACCAGGTGGTGGGGAGCTGGCCCTGGCCAGCAAGTATGGCGGGTGGTGGGCAGTATGGGGGCTGAGCAGTTGGCTTGGCCACCCAGTGTGCACCCACATGGCTGGGCAGTCTGGGATCTGTGCCCGGATTGGCAGCAGCAGAATATGGCTACAGTCCACCAAAGCCAGGGTGAGAGAGGGGACCCCCCATGGAAGAGCCCATCCAGTAGATTTACACAAACGGGAACTCTGCAGCCTAAGGCTGGGACAGGAACTGTCAGCACTCGGGCAGTAAACTGTCGGTAAATTATTACATAACCAAAGCATACACATGGACATTGCAATAAAGCATATCAGGGAGTTGCCAATTCTTCAGAGTTTGGAATCCTTGGTTTTGAAAACCACCGCAACATTGCAAAGCAATTATTCAGAGGCTTAGGACTAGAACTCAAATTTAAAGGTCACATTTTATAGAAAATAATTCTATTTTCATGTGAAGTTTCATTATGAATGAGAAAGACAATTTTAAAATTAATTTTTCTTGTAATCAAGGATATGGCAATCAGGTGCATAAACAGTTTATTAAAATTATAGACAAATTATGAAGTCGCTTTCAGTTTGTTTTTTTTTCCCCCAGAAGAGAACATGAATGCAGGCCCCTACTATTAGAAATTACACAGTTGAGTTTCTCACATTTCCTAAGTGCAATGTAAGAGCCTCACTCTGCAAGAACTACTTTGGTGATCACTTAGTATCTCCCCTGCCAGGTAAGTATCACTCTTAGTTTTTGTACAACTTCACAAGGTACAGAAAATGTTAGAAGAAATATTAAAATGTCACTGTATAAACTTACATATAAAATTAAATTCAGGCATATGTGAAATTGATTTTTCAAAGACTTAAATATTTTGACAAATTGTTCCACAAGATTAATCAACTCTAAATGTACGGATTATAACAATTTTTTTTTGCAATTTTAAGTTTATGATGTCACTCGTGTAACCCCTATTTCATTTTATAAGTAATCAAATATTTCGAAAGGAAAAAATTTTTTATTTTAGTACCTTTAACTGCACTTTTTTTTTTTTTTTTTTACGGCTGTGTGTGTCTGTGTAAGTAGGCTCCACACCCACCATGGAGTCCAACTCGGGCTTGAACTAAAGACCCTGAGATCAAGATCTGAATTGAGATCAAGAGTTGGATGCTTAACCAACTGAGCCACCCCCGCACTCCTTTTTATTGGTTTTTGAATAACAGGCCCCCAAAATTATGTAGGGGCTCTGATTTTGAAAACTAGTATTTCTTTGAGAGGATTTTCATATTTCCCCAAATTATTCTGACTCTGTTAAAGCCCTTTCAGGCTTTTACTGATTTCTGTCAAGTCCAAGGAATGGCCATCATGTTATCACGTTTTGGTTTTTTTTTTTTTTAAGATTTTATTTATTTATTTGACAGAGAGAGACACGCGAGAGAGGGAACACAAGCAGGCGGAGTGGAAGAGGGAGAAGCAGGCTTCCCACAGAGCAGGGAGCCCGATGTGGGGCTCGATCCCAGGACCCTGGGATCATGACCTGAGCCGAAGGCAGATGCTTAACGACTGAGCTACCCAGGGGCCCCCTGTTATCACGTTTTAAAACCCACATCACAGCATGGAGGACTGGTTATCTTTGAATCAGAGATGACCACTGTGATGTCCTCCTCATCCCAAACTGGGAGCCATCTTTTCCAGCCAAGGATCATTCTTCTGAGTAGTCACCCCTCCCCAAACCCCACTCCCCCGGCAGATCCGAGTCCTTTGGATTCAGATTTTAAGTTTTGAAGTCCTTTGTTAGGTAAGGTATGTGAAAAGTATTTTGGTAACTCCAGAGTGGAGGAAATAGGTGAATAATAATGACAAAAACAGAAAATGCAAATGGAGGGCGGCGTGACTATTAAGTAATAATAATGATGATGTTATAAGTCTTGTTAACAGTGACTCCGCACACGCGCTCTGCCGTCTGGTTGGTTCACAATTCCATTAGTCTTCTTGATGCCTGGCAGGGAAGGGTTGTTACAGGTGAGGCAGCCTTCCTGGGGTAGTCAAGCTCTTGTGATTGCAAACAGCGGCAGCCCTCAGGCCTCCTGAAAGCAAGAGGAAGGAGGTTGAACCCAGGAGCACTGAAACTCGCGCTCTGCACTTCCTCTCGGAACTGTGCCTCTTCCGGGGTCTCCTCCAGCCTCCTCCCACTCCCGATTGACCAATCCTCCCGCCCCATCGTGGAGGGAAGCAGTCTGATTGGCTTAGTCATGGAGGGAGGGCGGTGCTTTTTAGTGCGGCCTTGGCACCTAGGCCCTGAGACTCATCAGCCTATGAAGGGGCATTCCGTGGATCAGGTGCTCACCTCTGTCCAGTCAGAGGCCCCGCGGTGGGACAAAGGCGGGACTTGTGGGCGGCCATGGTGTGGGCGTGGCCAGCACTGTGACTGACAGGCCGATACAGAGGCCGGAGCCCTGGATCAGCTGAGCTCCGGCTTTTGCGGGAGAGCGGTTCTTACACCCACCTCAGCCCTCCTTACTTAAGCCGTCACTTACCGATCTGCTCTTTCCTCAAATATTTCTAGATGTCCTCTATTCTCCCCTTGTCCATGGTGACCTTCCAGTCTGAACGCCGGGCAGCAACCTCTTGGCTGGCATCCGACCACAGGGCTGGTCTTTTTCAAACACACACTGGGATGGTCATCCGCCCGTCAGTGGGTTCCACATCGCTCAGCAGGAACCAGACCTCCTACGGAAGCCTGGAGGCCCTCCGCGGTGGGACCCCTGAGTACCCTGTGGCCTGTCCCTCCTCCTCCTCTCCCCCGTGTGTCCGCCTCGCCTGCCTTCCGCCGCTCCCAAGCTCTTGCCGGGCCAGGGACCTCCGCGTTTCAGTTCCTCTCTTCAGGTCACCCAGCAGCCCACCCCCTTGCCACTGAACACCTGCTCATCGGAGTGAGCTCCGGCCAAGGGTCACCTGCTCAGAGGGCCTGTATCTGAGCCCAGGTCTAAACGGCATCTTCTGACATTCTCTCAGCACACTTGTCACAACTTACATTTTTGTTTGCATGTTGGTTTCACATCCATGCCTCCTGCTGGAAGACTACGTCTGCGGGGACAAGGGCTGTCTACCCTGCTCAGTGTGGACTCCCAGGGCCCGGCTCAGTGTCTGGATAAATATTGTGCCAGCTCAGGGCCATTAACTTTAAATAGTGACCTGTAAGCATATGTGTAGATCTGGATGGAGGCTTGGGTGCCTCTGGAGATTGGGAAAGGAATCAGGATAGGGAACAATGACGTGCGTGTGTGTGTGTGTGTGTGCGCGTGTGTATGCCTGTGTGCCTGCAATCGCATATGTAAAGCTGGGGGGCACTGGTTTCAACTGTAATGATCTGACTTGTATTGAACAGTAAGAACAAATAAAGTACGTGCCAGGTCAGGGGAGAGAGGGAATGGGTGATCCCAAGCCACGCTCAGGAAGAACAAAAAGATTGTGACACGCCGCAGTCAGCTGGTGGGTTTGTCTTCACTTTATTACTATGTCACCAGAAGTCACCACCTTCACTTGGTTCACCACAAATGGACAGATGTCATAACGGAGGGTGCCACGGGGCCACTGGATTCACTCTTGAGACTTAACCAGGTGGTGGGGGAGTCCAGAGTGGGGGCCCAGGATGGGGACCGTCATTCACTGCACGCACGCACACACACACAGATATATTTGTGGAGCCTTATATTATACATCTTATATATAGAAAATATATATATTTATACTATACACAGGCAGTTACGCTGCGGGAGGGCCGGGACACCCAGACAAGGGCTGTGGGCACCAGGGGATGGGGAGTGTCACATCAAAGGGCAGCGCTGGGAGATGGCTGGACCAGCCCATCCTCCCACAAACTCTTGGGAGGGGTGCTCCCCCTTCCTCCTCCTTAGAGAATCAAAGGGGTCTTGGGCCAAGGTTGGGGGGCCCTCAAGGGGTAACAAGTGGGGGCTCTTGTTTACATGGGGGAAGCCTGGGACCCCCAAGAGTCTTTGAAGATCAAAAATCACAGGGGAGGTTGGAGTAGGGGAGCGGATGCCAGTCCCCGTGGAATTAGTCCCTCGACTGTCACACTCCCAGGTACCAGAAGCCAGACCCAGGCGGACGGCCCATGACTGTGCAGGATGAGGGTTAACTCAGAAGCAGGAGACCTAGGTCCTCAACCTCTGACTCTGTGCGTAACTTTGGACAAGTGACTGTCTTCCCGGCCGACTCTACCATCTCGAAGGGTCCTTGCAGCTCTAAACTTGGGTGGCACCCAGTTTTCCTGGGCCCACTCTTGTGCTTGGTGGAAGGAGGGAGCTCAAACTCAGCAGGGTCAGGCTGCAGGGGGCAGCCTTCTCCATAGAAAGGGTTGGAAGCAAGGGAGAGGCAGAGGGAGGGAGCAGGGAGGGAAAAGAGGACACCATTGGCCCGGGAGTACAGGCTCTAAGTTTGGGGCCTCCAGGGTGCCGTCCTCAGCCAGTGGGAAGAAGCAGGGAATCCCTACCAACCTCCCAGAGGGGGAGTCAGGAGCCCTGGGTCCCAGCCGAATCCTGCCCTCTCCCCGCCCGTTTCTCACCTCCACCATTGGCGGGCCCTGCCAACACCCCGCCTGTTGGTGGGATCATGTCTGGGCTGTACCCCAGGCCGAGTGAGCAATGCAAAGTGAAAAGATTCTGCGCCCCTCCCTCCTGGAGGGGTCCTGTAAACTTTCCTGGTCTGGGGTGGCAGGGAGCGTCTATAAGAAACACCCAGGGGATCGGTGAAGCTTAAGTGGTAGCCTGCCCTCCAGCTCGGTATCACAAGCAGCTGGTCGGTGCCCAGGGAGAAGGGACGGGCAGCACCCTGGGGTCTCCTGGTGTCCATCGGCAGGGGAGGTGTTTGGTGGGGAGTGGGAGCGGGGAGGACCTCTCTCAGCCTCCTGCATGGGCACAGAGCTTCACTTTGCCAGAAGCGCACCCACAATCACCCACACCCTTACCTGCTTTGCCAACCTGGTCTGGTACAGGCTGTGCTGCTTGGCCTGGTAGATGCCACAACCCCATCCCATCCCCACTTGAGCTACTGGGGGGGGGCGGGGGTACCAGAGACAGAGCCCCTTCCCCAGATGTGGAAAATTGAAGTCCACAAAGACCAGTTGTTGCTCAGCTGTCTGGGGTTCTCTCCGGTCTCTGCTGCCCCTTATGAGGACTTGAACAGGCTTAAGTTCAGATCCATGCTCCACTGCTAAGTCGTTTACACTCTCTGAGCCTCAGTTTCCCCTTCTGTTAAGTGGGGACAACAACGCTGCTTCTCAACCTAGGAAACTCCTCCTTCCCTCACCGCCGTGCTAACTGCTGCCCATCCTCCTGGCCCCTCCTAGGGGCGCCGCATCCCTTGGCAAGTCCGCCAGAGGTGGTGGACCCTGGGTACAGAGGTTGGCTTGGTGCTCATCTCTGGACGGCCAGCTTGCATGCCTTCTGGCACAGGATAGCTGCTGAGTCCAAGGGCAAGTGAGTATCACCTGCCTCTGAGGGTTCTCGTGGGGGCATGGGGTGCTGGTGGTGGGAACATCCAGCACGGTGCCAAGCCACGATCCCCTGGCCCTGCTCCCCAGGTCACTGGCCAGTGGACGCGGAGCCCCATGTCTCCCCACACCTCTCTCTCTCTCCTTTAAGACCTCCCCGTCCTTTAAGGTTCAGTGAAGAGTCCACCTGTGCAAGAGTCCCTCCCTGCCCCCAACCCTCCTTGTGCCTTTGGAGACACCTGCTACAGTCTCTGCTACGGCCCACCGCCTCCCCCAGCCCACCGCGCACCAGGGGCCCTCAGCGTTCACCTTGGGAGCAGTGTGTCCCATGGCAGCAGGTGGAAGGCTGGCCTTGCTGGCTCCAGAGCCCCTGCTCTCTCTCCTCTGACTCCCAGAGAGACTGTCCTCTCATCAGATCTTCTGGAAGGCCAGTGGAAGGACTCTCCATGCCCTTGGCTGTTCCAGCCCCTGAGACCCTGGCTTACCCTGGCTGAGGGAAAGATGACACAGTGTCCCAGATCAGTTCTGTTTCCTGGGAGGTCACAAGGGCAGGGCAGGGAATCGGGGCACCTGCTGGGTGGCTGGGGCCAAGAAACCCAGGCAGCAAGCCCAGCTCTGCCACTTATTCAGTGTGACCTTGGGCCGGTCGCTCCCCATTCTGGGCCTCCTCGTCCACCCAGCCCTGGGCAGGGACAATGGTCAGTCCTTTGGGAGGCCACAAAGAGGGTGTTGGAGCTCCCGGTGGGGCACGCACAGCATGGAGCAGTACATGGGGAAACAAGCGAGTGAGGCGAGCCCCTTAGCCCTCCCACCCTGACTGGAGGCTGGGGGAGGGGCCGGTGGGGATGTGGGGAGAGGGGCCTGGAGGCAGAACGGGCCCCTGGCTTGCAGCAGAATCAGGGTTATATCATGGGCTGATGTCCCCAAGGCCTCCCAGAGTGACAGAAGCACTGAGCGGTGGAGCCCCAGGCTCAGGGATGGGGAAGGCAGGGAGGACAGGGGACAGCAGGTGCTCTCCGGTCAGGTGGCTGGGGCTTGGCCCCAACTCTATCACTGGCTGCCTGAGTGACCCTGGGCAAGGGACCTTGACCTCTCCAGGCCTCAGTGTCCTCAACATAAAATGGAGACAGCCCCCATGCTCGTAGTAGGGCTGGGTGACAGCCCCTGATGTCCTGCAGGTGTTCCCACCCACCCTGGAGCCAAACCTTCCCAGCATCACCCAGGTCTATCTTTCACACCGATTTCCACCTCCGGGGCTCCTCTGTCCCTCATCTTCGCCCTTCCCGGGACCCCTGGTCTCTCACCACCAGTGTCAAGACATGCAGTAGGCACTCCATGAATGCTCAGTGACACCATGCATGAATGCAAACGCCCCCAGCCCCTGCTGGACAGACTTGCACACATGTGGAGATGCGCCCCCACCCAACACCCTACGGCCCCATCCCACCCTGAGCTGCCCTGGGCCTCAGGGGAACAACCCAGAGTCTCCTGAGGTGCTGGGCAGGGCAGCCTGGGAGGGAGCAGGGGTCTGGGAGTGGGCAGGAGGGCAAAGGGCGGGGGGGGGGGCAGCTGGGACTGGGGCAGGGGACAGGCGAGGGGCAGGTGGTCACTGCAGCTCAGTAGCCCTGAGACTGGTAGCCCTGGGGCTCGGTGTCAAAGGCGTTGGTCGGCTGCTGGTAGGTACCGCCCAGGCCGGCGGGGTCTGGCCCGGCGCTGGGCTCCACGTAGGGGGCATAAGGCATGCTGGAGTCCTGGCTGGGGTCCATGTAGTCCTGGGAGAAGAGAGCCGAATCGGCGCCAATCTGGTACCGCTGGAAGGCCAGCACGGCCTGGCCCGCCTGGGGACGGGCGCCGGCGGGGACAAGGACAGGCGGGAGGGGATGGTTAGAGGAGAAAGACAGACAAGAACAGTGGGTTAGTGGCAGTTAGTTCACAGGACACAGGCAGTAGGGGTTAAATATCCTCAAAGCCCCGAAGATGAAACCAAGCTTGCCCGAGGGGGAGTCTGTCCTGGCAGCCAGCCCTCAAGAGATCCAGAGCCACCCTGTCCATCCAGCCAGAAAGACCTTCAGAAGTCACCCGTCCCATGTCCCCCAACCCCAGAGTTCATGGGTCCCCAAGCATCCTCCACGGTGGAGCGTTAAAATGGCCCAAAGGCCACGACATCCTTCTCAAACTGTGGTCTCGGGGGTGTTAGGTGGAATGGGGAAAACGGGTTCTCGGTGGGATAGAGAACTGTTGGTATCTCCTGCAAGCCATCCCGTCTCCCTTGCAGCTAGGTGTAAGAATGTGACGGAGTTCTGGCCAGCACGTCACCCCAGGTCCTTTGCCCCGCCCTCTGACCCAACCCGTGGAATGCAGATGTGGTAGCTGGAGCTCTAATTGCCACACGGGACCGCGAGGTCCATAAGCCAAGTTGGAGGGATGGAAGAGGCCTGGGTCCCAAAAGGCCTCTGGAGCCGCTAGGTCAGTCCTGCACTAGGCTGCATTTAAACCACTGCGATTTACAGTTTCACTTGGGGCTGAACCTGATTCTAACTAAAACATTTGGTCAAACAAGTTTGGGACAAGAGTAAAATAAGTTTCAAGGCCACAGGACTTGTCAGAGCCGTGAAGGATGTATGCTGGGATCCCCAAGGGGAAAACTATGACAAGTGGCATGTGTCAACCTTATCTGACCAACAAAGCCCTTTCCCCATAGGACCTAGTTGGGAAAGACTTGTCTACAGCATACGTATGTAGGTGGGAAATTCTTTTTCAGTAAAAACTATCACACTGTTATTAAAGGCAATGACACTGACCACACCAAGTGAGGGAATAAATTTCAAAAAATAGTTTTTAGGTTTATATTGAAAGCCTCCTCCAAAGATCTTTCCAGCAGGTGGTCTGCCTGTGATGGAAAGATGCTAATGCTCAACATACCCGCTTTTGGGCTGGGAGGACTGAGGCTTAGTCAAGGGAGACCTCATGGCAGAGTCAGTGCCAGAAGCCAGATCTGAATAGAGGTCCTGCCTCTTCCCAGGCCAGGGCCCTCCCCATCTCTTTCCCTTTCATCAGCCCCCTGACAAGGCAATAAACCAACGAGGAACCCCAAAAGGCCATCTGATGACAGGCAGGGGGTGAAGTGTGCTTGGCGTTTTATTCTAGACAGTTCCAGAAGCCCAGTGACTAGGCACTGACTTTCGATTTGTGTCACTGGTAAAAGCTCTGAGGGGCAGCCCTTCCTGAATGGTGGCTGTCCAAAGCAGTGCAGGAGCCTGAAAAAGGGGGACCAGGTGGACGAGGGTTGAGCTGAGGAAATCAGGCCTCCCTTGGTCAGCCAGTTCGTGTGGGGGTGGGAGTGCGGGGGTGGGGGGAGGGGGAGACGGGCCCTGCTGGTGAGCCTGGCCCTGCTTCTTCAGAGCGGGTGCTGTCTGCGGCCATCTACACTTGTATGCCTCTCGTGTTAGGAAGCTTACTCTCTTTGTGCTTTGCTCTGGGGGCCTGTTTGCTTTAATTCCCCCTCGGCTCCTACAGAGGGTGGAGGGATAGGTGGTTCCTTCCTGGGGAAGCTGGAGGCTGTATAGAACTGGAGGCCAGAGTCTTTTGGAAGAACAAGGATTCACCCCCTGAGAACTGCCCCCAAAGTAGGGATTATGGAGGTGTCTCTGACTCCTGGGAGAGAATGAATGAATGAATGCATGAAAGAACAAAAGAACCTACATTTATTGAGCATCTCTATGCCAAGCCCTGCGCCGGCCTCTGCTTCATCCGCACAACAGCCCTGCGAGGTTGGTCCACTGGGTAGTGGACGGAGGCTCAGAGAGGTGCAGGGGTTTGCCCAGGGTCATACAGCATATAAGAGCAGACGCACGCGAGGCGTCCTCTGACGTGCTCGGCCTGCCCTGCCCAGCAGCCAGCCTCCACGGGGACTGTAAGGTCAGCCTTCATGCTGCAGCGAGGGACAGGCTCTCCCAGCGTCCACAGCATCCTGGCAGCCCGTGTATGAGCCACCTCCCCCCATCTTAGAGCCCCTGGCAGTCTGGTTAGGGGAAACTGCAATTTGTTTGTCTTCCCCTCCCCAGCCTGTGGGCTCCTGGGGCCAGGCCCCCCGTCTGATTCATCACTAGGCACAAAACAGCTCAATAAATGTTTACTGAATGAATGGACAAACGAAACATAAAGGAGGCAACAAGTGATTCAGTGGCGGGTCTGAACTGGCCTCGCAGCCGGCCTTCCCCTGCCCCACGGGCCCTGGTATCCTGGCCACTCCCAGCAGCAGGACGCCCCACAAGCTTGCCACTGGCCATGACACGGGGCGCCCCTGCCTCTGGAAGCCGGGCAGGCCTACGGCTGTGCCGAGGTGGGAAACAGTGTGCTGTATTCCTCCTGGAAGGTAAGGTCCTTGAATCTCCGCACGGCCAGGGCTGCGGTCAGGCTCTGCCAGGAGAGAGCAGGGGTGAGGCCAGTGGGGAAGAGCTGGGAAAGGCAGAAGTGCCTGCAGTGGGCCAGCGGGCTCCTGTCAGTCAGGCTCTTGGCCCTGCCCCTGGAAGTCCTGCCGTCCAATCACCCACTCCTCTTCCATGAGCCCCACCCCCATCTCGGGGCTCCCTGTTCCAAACACCTCCCTGCAGGGCTGGGTGGGCTGGGACGTCCCCACACACGGGGCACCTTCTCTGGTCCGAGATGTCCTGGGGTCACCTGATTCTTCCGGCCCAGCCTTGAGGACCTGGAGGGCTGGTGTGACCACAGCTGTTCTCCTCCAAACTCTGGCTCCTAATATTGCATGGGGCCGGGGCGGGGGGGTATCCCAAGAGGAAATGGATATTCAGGGGCCCTCATAAGGAGCAGGAAGTCACTCCAGGACAAGCCCAGGAGGGCAGAGGGGAAGGGAGGGCTGGCTGCAGTACACTTTGCAGGAGGGGCTGGGGCTGCCCGTATCCAGCCCCGGGGGCTCCCTGCAGAACTGGGCCCAGGACTGCCGGGAAGCCTGGAGGGGAAGGGGCTGCACGCAGGGGAGGGAGAACTTTGGGATGGGGGCCTGGAGCCCATGTGACCCCAGACATCTGCAGGAGGAAGATGAGGGGAGAAGAAATACATCAAGGCAACCTGGAACCAGTGGGAAAGAGCGCCCAGCCTAGGTCTAGAGCTTGCCAAGGGGTGCCATCTGGCCAGTCAGGCCCAGAGACATGCTTTCTTTGACCCACATGGGATTTTTTTTTAACTTGAATAAATTGCTAACACATAAAGATCAGATTTCACACAGAAATTCAGATTTCTGGCTTCTCTGGAAAACGGGAAGACCTGGCCTGTGTGGATCCCCATTCCTGCTCTGGAACAGGGGCTGAGGGTGCCCTTTTGGGGGGGCATGAACCTGCCACCGGCCCACTCATAATTTCTCATGTGCTGCCTGCCCCGTGGGCATCTGAGTTTGTGACACCCTCCCACCCCAAATCCAATTGCCTGATTTTACAGACGGGAAGACAGAGGCCCGGAAAATTAGAGGCAGCCCCAAGATGTGGCCCAGGTCTCCTGACACCTAGGCCTGGGCTCCTTCCCAGCCTCGGGACTGCAAAGCCTTATCTTCCCGCCTAGGCCTCTGCTAGTGTTTATAAAAGCTTATGGTAAACGCCCACGACCCAAATACCAGACTGGTTGGGAGGGGCGTTCATGATCACTGGTGGGTGCTCTGGGCCAAAGCAAGGGTCTCCCGTCACTACGGGACTGTCCTCACCGGCACTGGCAACAGCCTCCTTCCTCAGGAAGCAGCCCTGTGTGAGCGTCCAGGAGAGACGCAGGGGGCCACTTGGGCCCCAGGAAGCAAGAGTCCCTGGCGAAGCTGCAAGGCCCCGCAGCCTGGGAGCCTGGCCGGGGTGGGAGAGTGCACGCCGGGCCGGTGGTATACTCACCCACGTGAAGATGGAGAAGAAGGAGAAGGTGATGGCGGCCCGGGCCGCATCTGTCCCTTCATTCATCGGGTTGTCCTTGGGCTTGGACACCTGCCACTGGTTGGCCAGGAAGCAGAAGCCCACGAACCAGAGGAAGGCCCAGAAGGCTGGGGTGTCCACCGGGACCAGGCAGAAGGGGCCACACGAGAGAGAGGGCGAGAGGGGAGGAACAGGGAGAGGTTCAGGAGCATGTTTCCCATGCTCCCCGACCCCCAAAGGGAGGGGCAGGGTGGGGGCGGGGGAAGGTGAGGCCAGAGCAGGGAGGTCGGTCAGACGCGGAGAGACCACAGAGAGGAGCCGGCGGCCGTGCAGACAGCAAGGCCAGGAGCAGAGCCGGGGGGAGCCAGGGGCGGTGAGGGGAGCGAAGCAGGGAGAGACAGAGAAAAGTCAGTCAGCCTGGGCGGGCATTTCTGTCATCTCAGCCGCACACAGATTTCCCAGCTGAATCCCTGCCTGGGGACCGCTGACCACCCTGCAGCAGTCTGGGAGGGGCACTGATCTGACCCCCTAGCCCACTGCAGCCTCCCTGAGAACTGGGCAGAGAGAGGAGGAGGCTGGGCAAGGGGGGCAGCTTGGCTGGGCGGGTCTGAGCACCAGCTTCTCATGTGCCTGCAGCCTCACAAAGCCCGAGGTTAGGGAGGAGCCTCTTGAGCAGAGGCCTGGGGAGTTTAGCAGTGAGAGCCTCGTGGCAATGAGAGCTTCTGTGGGTGCCCAGAGTCTACCAAGAGAGAACCAGAGCTGCTCCAGTAAAGCGTGTGTGTGCCAAAGGGCTGTGGTATCTAGAGACCAACGTTTCCCACAGGTACTGCTGCGGAACCCTGGGGCTCCGGGGAATACAGTTTGAGAACTACTAATTTCATTCTATCTTTCAAGTCTAAGGGACTGGCTTCACTGCTTACAAGTCAGCCGGGCTCATCCTGAGAGTCCCAGGCCCGGTAATGGGGGGAGGTCCCAGCCAGAGACCTGAGACCACAGCCAAAGCCTCACTGCCCCTCAACCAAAGCACCCAGTGATCAGACTCTCAGAACTCGTGCGGACAGAGGTTGGGTTACCTCCGCCAAAGGCTGTTTCTGGAAGACAGGGGCAGCAGGTCGCATCAGGCCCCGACCCTCCCCGGGCCTGGACTGTGTGCCATGCCATCAGTCTTGCCTTACTTCTCACGAGGCTCCACCAAGGGAGGTGGCACAGAAGCCCTGTCCCCTCCCCGCGGTGGAGCTCAGGGCTCTTCTAGGGTCTCAGGCCCAGCCCTGGTCCCACCACTCCCCGTTGCCAGCCAGGTGACCCCCGGTCTGTCCCCTCACCCGCCTCATAGCTGTGCGTGAGGAGTGACGGGCCCATGGCTGGGGCAGCCCTCTGCAGTCTCTGTTGTGCTGGGGGGGGGGTGCCCACGGGGATGGGGGACTCACCTGAGACCCCAATGTCGGACAGGACGGCTTTCTTGCGGTCCTTCACGCTGCTGATCTGGGGGAAGTACACGTCCAGGGCCAGGTAGAGCAGGCACGTGAGGAAGGCGAGCACGCCCACGGCCACACCATAGCTGCAGGCGTTGGGGTTGCGGTTGTAGATGCAGAACTTCTCGCCCCCCGAGTTGCTGTTGAGGTAGCCCTCGTTCACGATGGAGCCGAACACCACGATGGAGAACACCTGTCAGGGCGGGGGAGGCGCAGAGCTGGGCATGAGACCCAGGCCGGCCCTGGCCCAGCACCAGGCCTGGAGAAGGGGCGGCTACTCCCCTCAGCCTGCTGTCTGCCCCCACCCCAGCCAGCCCCCCTCACCCCAATCAGCCTCAAGGCTGCTGTTAAGCAGGCACGGCAGAGGGGAGGCCCAGAGAGGGAGGGCACCTTGCTTAGGGTCACACAGCGCAGCAGGGGATGATCACTTCCTTCCTTAGCCTCAGGCTCTAATGACCCTCTGACCACGAATTTGGTACTACCATGCCACCAGCCAGGTCCTGAGAGGTCCTCCTGGGCCCTGACCCCAAGATTCCTCCAGAACTGCAGGCTTGGCCTCCCAGAACGAGGGGTCTCATGCCCTTCCGGGAGGTAGACCTGCCAAGGCTGGGTCCTCTGGATGCTGGCGCGTGCCCAGCCCCATCTCCAGTCATGACCTGAGCCGAAGGCAGATGCTTAACCGACTGAGCCACCCAAGCGCCCCTAAACCTCTGACTCTTGGTTTTAGCTCGGGTCATGATCTCGGGGTCCTGGGATCAAGCCCTGTGGCCAGCTCTGCGCTCAGCAGGGAGTCTGCATGGGGTTCTTTCCCTCTGCCCCTCCCATCGCTCGTTCTCTCTCTCTCACAAATAAATATATTAATTTTTTTTAAATTTTTTTTTAAAGATTTTATTTATTTATTTGAGAGAAAGAATGAGATAGAGAGAGCATGAGAGGGGGGAGTGTCAGAGGGAGAAGCAGACTCCCTGCCGAGCAGGGAGCCCGATGCGGGACTCGATCCCGGGACTCCAGGATCATGACCTGAGCCGAAGGCAGTCGCTTAACCAACTGAGCCACCCAGGCGCCCCAATAAATATATTAATTAAAAAAAAAAAGTAACAGCAGTCACAATCCTGCCAGTTACAGGGCAACCTGCACTCCCCCAAGTACGGTGCACATACCTCATTTAACCCAGTAATCCTCTGTGACAGGTCTATTGCAGCTGGGTAGGCAACCGCCTGAGATGGCCCCCCACCCACCTCCTGGTATTCACAGCCTTGTACAACTTCTTCCCCTTGAATGCCGGCTGGGCCTTCTGATTCACTTCTAACCAACAGAATATCACAAAAAGTGATAAAAAACATCTCTGCGAGGAGATTACAGACACTTTGGCTTCCACCTTGTTTACCCTCTCTTGCCACTCCCTACTTGCTCGCTCTAATGGAAGAAGCTGCCATGTTTTGAGCCACCCTGTGGAGAGGCCCACATGGCATGGAAGTGAGGGAGGCCTCCAGCCAACAGTCAACAGGGAGTGGAGCCCCTCAGCCTGTAAGGAGTCGAGTTGGCCAGCACCATGTAGGTGAGCTTGAAAATGGGTCCACCCTCAGCCTTCAGGTAAGGCCCTGGCTGACACCACACTGTAACCCGTGAGAGATCCTGAGGCAGAGGCAGCTGGCTAAGCAGATTCCTGACATTAGAAACTAGGAAATGACAAATGTTTGTTATTTTAAGCCACTTTATTTGGGGATATTTTGTTATACAGCAATAGCTAACTAATACATCAGTTATCATCAGCATTTTGCAGATGAGACAGTTAAGGTACGAGTACTGATTAATGTTACCAGAGTCATAAAACTGTTAAGTTTTTAGAGTCCAGGGGCTGGACATGCTTTGGGGCACCTGGGTGGGTCAGTCAGTTAAGTCTCTGACTTCGGCTCAGGTCATGATCTCAAGGTCCTGGAATCAAGTCCTGCATCGGGCTCCCTGCTCATGGGGAGTCTGCTTGTCTCCTTCCCTCTACCCCTCCCCCTGCTTGGATGCTCTCTTTCTCTCTCAAATAAATAAAATCTTAAAAAAAAAAAAAAATTCTTGCTTTTTCCTCCTGCCTCTCACCTTCCCTGAAACTGTGTGAGGGTGAAGAGGCCCAGACTCAACAGGCAGAGCCTCAGGTGTGGCCTTCAGTGAGCTTGAGGCAGGGGCCAGAGGGCATTTTTATTGCCTGTTTTCCACTTCTTTGTGGTTTCCAATTTTTCTAAAATAAGAAACTATAATTTCAGGTACATTTTCATCCTCAGCTAATATGCAGGATGGGCAGTAACTCCATGGCAGGTGTGGGAAAACACATGAAAAGCATTATTATTTTTTTTAATCTCATCTTCCTAAGATGTCTATACTTTTTTTTTAAAAAAGATTTTACTTATTTTTTGAGAGAGAGTGAGTGAGACACAGCACACATGAGCAGGGGCAGGGGAGAGGGAGAAGCAGCCCCCCCACCAAGCAGGGAGCCTGATGCAGGGCTCGATCCCAGGATCCTGGCATCATGATCTGAGCCAAAGGCAGATGGATAACGACTGAGCCACCCAGGCGCCCCTAAGATGTCCATACTTTACATGGATTCTGTAATGTACTGGATCTGTGTAGTAGTAATGTATATCAAACAAATAAATCTACATTTAATGGGAGGACTGATTGAAAAGTTTTTCCTAAAGAATGGCACGACCAAAAGTGTGGAGACCACTGGTTCACAGCACTGTGTGTTAAGAAAAATTCTAACCCAAATGTCCGTCGATAGATGAATGGAGAAACAGGTTGGGGCATCTCCACATAATGGAATAGTTTTCAGTCATTAAAACAAACAAACAACATCTAAAACTAATGATGTAATGCATGGGGATTAACATAAGAATAAAAAATTTAAAAAACAACAACAACAAACAAACAAACAACAAAACAGTTCTGATACGTGCTACAACTGGATGAACCTTAAAACAAGCGGAAAAAGAGGTGAAGGAAGACGCTTAACCGACTGTAACACAGAAAGTCAATGTTACATGATTTCATTTCTGTCCTGTATCCTTAACAGGCAAAACAGACAAGAAGCAGACCAGAGGTGACCAGGGCTGCAGGAGGGGGGATGGGGAGCGATTACTTAATGAGCACGGGGGGGGGGGGGGCGGTTTATGGGGTGATGAAAAGTTTTGAAACTAGACAGAGGCAATCGTTGCACATAAATGTCACTGAACTGTGTGCTTTAAAATGGTTTATTGCGCGCTATGTGGGTTTTTCTGGAATAAGAAAAGAAAGAAAGAGAAAGAAAGAAAGGGAAAGAAGGAAAAAGGAAAGGAAGGAAGAAAGGAAGGAAGGAAAGAAATAAAGAAAGAAAAAGAAAAGAAGGGGCGCCTGAGTGGTTCAGTCGGTTAAGCATCAGCTCAGGTCATGATCCCAGGGTCCTGGGATCGAGCCCCGCATCGGACTCCCTGCTCAGCGGGGGGGCCTGCTTCTCCCCCTCCGTCTCTCTCCCTGCTCATGCTCTCTCTCTGTATCTGTATCTCTGTGTCTCAAATGAATAAATAAAATCTTTAAAAAAAAAAAAGAAAAAGAAAAGAAAAGAAAGAGAAAGAAAGGGAAAGAAGGAAAAAGGAAAGGGAAAGAAGGAAAAAGGAAAGGAAGTAAGAAAGGAAGAAAGGAAGGAAGGAGAGAAATAAAGAAAGAAAAAGAAAAGAAAGAAAAGAAAAGAAAAAAGAAAAGAAAGAGTGGGTCTGTGTCCTGGTTCAATCACAAGCACACAGTTGGGCCGTGGTGGCCCATGAGCCACACATTTGCCAATCCAGACTTGAGAATGTACACATAGCCACGGTCTAGCCCCTCGCGGGCATGCTGGCTCTCGGGGTGGCCGTGTCACACGTTCTGCGTCCTCATGATCACCCCGCGAAGCGCAGAGGGCAATTCGCACTGCTCCCAATTAGCGGCGTAGGAAAACTGAGCCTCAGAAACAGCAGGTGGCACTGTTGTCAGCAGGACAGGCTGAACCTGAACCCACGTGTAGGCTCTTTCCCACCTGACCCACCTGACCAAGTTGACTCTCAGCCTCAGGAAGTGGGCCCTGAAGCAGACAGACACCTGAGGGGCCCATAGTGTGAGAGCCAAGTCTGTGCTCAGGGGCACAGGAGGGGAGAGGCAGCAAGTCCGGATTTCACAGCAATTGTCTAAGGGACTCCTAGGCTACTGACACATTCTGGACAAGCCAGGCAGACGCTGGACACCGGGAGGCGAAGGCGGGCTCTGATGGCCAGTTGCCAGAGCCGTGCACAGCACAACTCCGGGACTGCCATTCACGCACCCCTTGGACCTGTGCGCTAAGAGTAGTCCAAGGTTCCTACCAGGAACCTGCCAGGTCAGGAATCTGAGGCCCAGCTCTGGATGTCACCCGCGGTCCCCAATCCAGCAGAATGGAAAAGCCTCTTGATTAGAGGGCTCTCCAGACACTGAGGAGTCACACAGGGTTGCTGGAGTCAAATCCCAGGCCTGCTGCTTATGCTGTGTGGCCTCAGGCAAATGACAACCTCTCTGAGCCTCAGATTGGTCCTCTGCAAAAATTAACCTTCCCTTCAGGCCTAGTGGGCGAATTACATGCAAGCACCCTGAGCAGAGCAGTGCACTGTAGGGGTTTAGCAAGGATTAACTACCTTCTCCAGAGGCCCCAGGGAAGAAGGAAGAGCACCAGCAAGGCCCTCTTGGGCAGCACTTCCTGACTGACAGGCTCCACCAGGGGTGGGGACAGGGGTGGACCCCCCCAGCCAAAAGCAGGCCAAGAGGAGGTGGGAGGAGAAATAGGCAGGCGGAAGTCGGGGCTTTGGGGACAAGCAGAGGAGGAACCATTAAGACAGGGCCCTCTTGGGGGGAGAGAAGCAGGGAGTCCCTGGAGAGGCCGGGAGGCAGGTGCTGGAGACACCGAGTCCCCAAGAGAGTAAGGAACAAGGTCACAACATCCTCTGAGGACCCACAGGGCCCAAGGGCAGGCAGAGAGAGGAGGCTCTGTGCCCGCTCGGGTTCTCCTCTCCAGCCCACAGCTCCGGCACACAGGGCGCTCAAAGTCACCCTGGGCAAGGGACTTGCCTTCTCAGCGCCTCAGTGCCCTCATCTGTAAAGCAATGGCGCCTCGCGAGGAAGGGATGAAGTCAGGCCCGTGAGGACCGGCAGGTGTCCTGGAGGCAG